TATACCCTTTGACTACAAGTCTTGCCTTAAATTTATCAATACTGCCATCATCTTTCATTTTCCTCTTAAAGATCTATTTAGAACCCAAAGGTTTATTTCCATGAGGAAGATCAAAGAATTCCATGTATGGTTGTTCAATATGGATTCTATTTCACTATTGACTACCTCTTTCCAAAAACAATGATTCCGAAGAAGACATAGCTTCTTTAAACGTTTGGGGCTCATTTTCCAATAAGAAAGTCACAAAATCTGGTCCAAATGAAGTAGACGTTATTTGACGTTTACTACGTCTTGGATCCTCCTGATTAAATGTACTTTCTTTTGTTTCTTCCCGAGGTCCTTTAGATCCTTCACCAATCGACTCACATTCCTTTTTATACGGATATATATTTTCAAAAAAACTCAGCATTATCTGATTCTATAACCGTATTAGTATGAATGTCGGGATTTTCTGATTTATGAACCAGAAATCAATATGCTTTACTATTAGTCGCATATCCTATGAAAACACAACCAACGGTTTTCAGTCCTATGTTTACCCTTTTGGGTTTAGGAACTTTCACTTTTGCCAAACACCCCCACACTTTAAAATAATTCAAGTTGGATTTCCTACCTTTCTATTTTTCATATGGAATGGATTGTGTTTGGCTGTGGGGTACTCGATTTAGTATCCGGTTAGCCGTAAGAACGGCTTCCCCCCACAAGTTCTGTGGCAAACCAGAACTTATCAACAATGCGTTCATCATCTCCTTTAATGAACGATTCTTTCTTTCCGCAATCCCATTGGACTGGGGCATGTAAGGGGCTATTGTTTGATGAACAATTCCATATTCTAAACATATTTGCTCAAAAAGATATTCATATTCACCCCCTATCACTTCTTATCATTTTGATTTTCTTATTAAGTTGCGTTTCAACTTCACTTTTGTATTGCTTGAATGCGTCTATTGCTTCATCTTTACTATTAAGTAATTAAACATAGCAATATCGAGTACTCTCGTCAATAAAAGTTATGAAACACTTCTTTCCGTCGCGAGATGGTATTGACTTCATGTCGCAAATATCTGTGTGAATTAAGTCTAAAGGATTTGAATTCCTTTCAACTGACTTATAAGGATGTTTAACATAATTAGATTCCACACATATTTGACATTTTGATTTGTCGCATTAAAACTTAGGCAATACTTCCAAGTTAATCATTTTCCACAAGGTTTTGTAATAAACATGACCCAAACGTATATGCCATAAATTATTTGACTCAAGTAAGTAAGAAGAAACTGATATTTTATTATTATTCTCAACAACCATTACATTCAGCTTGAAAAGGCCCTCAGTGAGGTAACCTTTTCCTACAAACATCTCTTCTTACTTATTACAACCTTATCAGATACAAAGACACATTAAAACCTGTTCTTAACAAGAAGTCCAGTAGAGACTAAGTTCTTTCTAACATCGGGAACATGAAGGACTTGTTCAGAGTCACCACCTTGCCAGAAGTCATTTTCAGAAATATCTTCCCACATCCTTCAATTTTGGCCGTTGCAGAATTTCCCATAGAAAGCGTCTCTTCGGGTCCAATGGGAGCATATGTAGCAAACGCTTCTCTAACGACACAAACATGGCGAGTGGCTCCAGAATCAATCCACCACTCCTTAGAATTTCCCAACATGTTTCATTCAGAAAGCATATCACACAAGTCATCAACATCTTCGTGCTTTTTAAGCATGTTTGCTTGACCCTTCTTCTTGTCTTTCTTCGGAGCTCGACAATCTGTAGATTTGTGTCCAGCTTTTCCACAGTTGTAGCAATTTCCATTGGACCGCTTCTTGCTTGGGTTGCTTTTCGGTCCTGAAGCCTGCTTCCTCTTTCTCTTATTTTGAGGAGTATCCTCAATAATGTTTGCTCCCATTATTGTTGAGTTTCCACGACCTCTCTTTTTAGCAGATTTATTGTCCTCTTCGATTCTCAACCGAATAATGAGATCTTCAAGCGACATCTCCTTGCGTTTGTGTTTTAAGTAGTTTTTAAAGTCCTTCCACAAAGGAGGCAACTTCTCAATCATCGCTGCAACTTAGAATGCTTCATTGATGACAAGAATATAATCGCTGCAGCTTCAAACCCGACATCTTCAGTTTTGTATTTCCTTTCAAGCGCAATCCACAGTTATTTTGACGTCTCCACACCACTGCAGACGTTATACAGATCGTCCTGCATTTCGCTAAGAATATAATTCTTGCACAAAAAATCAGAATGCTTCCACGCCTCAATCACGAGAAAGCGTTCATTATCTGAAGTTTCATCGAGTAGAACAGGAATATCTTCCTTAATGAACTTCTGTAGACTTAAAGTCGTCAAGTAGAAGAACATCTTTTGCTGCCACCGCTTGAAATCAATCACGAAAAATTTTTTGGGTTTTTCTGCCGGTGTTGTTCAGCTTGTCGATGCATTGGCAGCCACCATATGAACAATCTGGTTCCCGTTGCCATTCGTCATTTCTGTAAAAGAATGACACAACCAAACGTTAAAATCACGTAGATTTTAATCTCCAATGGAGTAGAAAACCACAAAGGTTTGTCTCCAGAAACAGTGAATATAACACAAATACAGAAAATAGTTAAATTCCTTAAGCTTGTTATCAAACTGTATTTGTAAAAAAATTCTAGAGAATATAAAATAACGTATAAGCAGAAATGAAAAACAAAAACAAAATTTAATCCGAGCCCATTGAATTCACAATATTTCCTTAAGGAATTTAATCCCCTCCTAGTACCTAAGGTTATGGATTATTTTCTCCCAGGATAGAACGAATTATACACTGGTGTAGCGGTACTTCAAACCCCAATGTTTCAGCGAACACAAAGATCAGTAGCAACTCACACTTACTGTTGCTTAGTAGTTAAAACAATGCAGAAGAGTTGTAACTCTTTAGAAATTAGTTACGTAAAACGGCCATGGCCATTTACGCAAATTAAAACGGGCAGAGGAAATGTTTTTTCGTTACAAAAAACGGACAGTCAATGAAACGGATAATTTGAATTATTAATCTTCCGTTACAGACACGGATTACGTTAATATTTACTATTAACAAATAAATTTGGTCCAAAAAATTAATCAATCAATAGATCATTTGACCAAATCCGAAGCCGAAGCCGAAGCCGAGCGACGACGGCGCGAGGCTTGCCTTCTTCTTAACTCTTTAAGAGCTACAAGAAGAACAATTATATATATACCCATCAAAAACCTTTCCTCTTCCAATATGGGACAATGTCCCATTGTCAAGGGAAAATTTAAAATTTCACTCAAAATTTCATTTTCCCTCCATTTCCCATTCACCCACTTTTAATTTATTTTAGCTTAAAAACCTCAACAGAATTGAGTAGACTTTTAAATGTTTTCTTGCGCATACTATCCTCTTAGAAGAAATTAATTTCAACAATAAAATAATTCATTAAGAAAAATACTTAAACTAATAACTAAATTGGTAGTTGATTCAAATGATATTGAATGATATAAATTGTTAGTATATAGGGGAGTAAATCGAATAGTTAGCCCGTGCTTTTCACTCTTGTTTGACAAAATGATATTGCATAGCCGCTCTCAAATCAATAACTGATATATATATATATACATATATATATATATATATATATATATATATATATATATATATATATATTATATGTTATATGTTATAACAAAAGTTATACAAATTTTATATACTTTTTTGATTATTATAAATAAATTCTAGTACGGACTAAAAGTGATAATACCTCCGTTGTTTGGCACAACGATATAGAAAAAAGATACTACAAACGATTTAACTTTAGCATATTAATAGAACTCGGACAGGTACAACTTGTATAGGGAACTTTTTGGGAAATTGCGACGTAGAGACTTAATTGTCATTTCTTACGTAAGAAAAAGAAAAGAAAGCAAACACGTACAACTTGTATTTTGTCTCTTTCCGCCCCAAACCACAAAAGCAATGAACTAACCCCTCGAACTTAGGGGATATATGCCCTTTACCATATATCCTAAGTTGCAGCTAGCGCCTAGCTGCACCGCCCGAATAGCCCACAGAACTATAGTTTACAATTAGGGAAAAAATTCAAAAATAGCCAGATTTACCACTGGTCGTTGAAAAATAACCAAGTTTCAAAAGTCATCGAAATTTAGCCACTTTAAATTTGAGCGAAAAAATTGTTCAAAATCCGGAAAAATATGCCCGCAAATTTTACGGGAGTTCCAGCATAAGTATGCTTGAACTCCCGTAAATTTTACGGGAGTTCCAGGATAACTATGCTGGAACTCCCGCAAATTTTACGGGAGTTCAAGCATAATTATGCTGGAACTCCCGCAAATTTTACGGGAGTTCCAGCAAGTATAATTGTCCAGTATAATATACTGGAGTTTGGAGCACTGGTGCTCCAGTCTCCCGCAAATTTTACAGGAGTTAGCAAAGTATACCGGTCCAGCATAATATGCTGAAGTTCGTACACAAATGCACCAGAACTCCCGTATATTATACTGGACCGGTCCCTGTTGCAGCAAAATAGTGGTTATTTTTCATTGACTTGATAAACGCTGGCTATTTTTCATTGACCAGTGTGAAAACTGGCTATACCATGATATTTCGCCTACAATAAGCCCCTGTTTGGCCATACATTTTCCCAAATTTAATTTGAAATTTATTTTCAAATCCCATGTTTGGCTATAAATTTGATCCACATTTTGGCCAAAACTCAAATCACATATTTGAAATCTCAAATTCAGCTAATAAGCTGAATTTGGGCCAAATTTCCAAAACTTGGGAATTATATACATGTTTTCCCAAAAAAATGTTGAAAAATATGTTTTGAAATCGTATGTCCAAACACATTTTCATCTTCAAACCAAACTTCACCCAAATCAGATTTTTCAAAATAAATTTGGGATCTATGGCCAAACGCTAGCTTAGTAGTTTGATAAGACCACAAATGGCCGAGAGTGATCTTCCACTTTCTCTCTCTCTATATATGCATGTTGAAACGTACGGTTCCTACAAATATCCATATTTAATAAATGGCTCCCTCGTTAATGAGCAGAAACGGAGTGGAAAAAAACGACAAGACGTTTCACAAGTTTTTTGAAACATGGCTAGCTGAGCAGAACCAAGAATTGAAAGAGCTTGTTTCTGTCTCGAGAGATGTAAGCAAAGGCAACAATATTGTGGTGGAAGAGAGGGTTTTGCTGCCACTCATTGAACGTGTTATACAACACTATGAGGGGTATTATGGGGAGAAGTCAAAATATACAGAGGAAGATGTTTTTGGGATGTTAAATCCCACATGGAGGAGTAATCTTGAGGGAGCTTTCTTATGGATTGGAGGTTGGAGACCAAGTATGGCCTTTCACTTGCTCTATTCAATATCAGGGTTGCAATTCGAACCTCGTCTTCCCCAGTTGATTAGAGGAATCACAACAGGTGACTTAGGGGACCTCTCCCCTGACCAAATAGGTAAGCAAGTGGTCAATCAAACACTCTTGCTTCGTCAGAAAATTATATTGTATATGTAGGTTAAAATATTACTCCCACTATGTCCCAAAAAGGATAATCCTTTTCCGATACTGTAAGTCAAACGAGCTGTTATATATATATATATATATATATATATATATATATATATATATATATATATATATATATATATAAAACTTAAATCATCTATTTGAATTCATAGTCAAAATTAAGAAGTTTGATTTTTGAAATTCGAAAAGTATTAAGTATCCTTTTTCAAACAAAAATATTATAAAAAGGGCAGATCGGTGCATTAAGCTCCCGCTATGAGAAGGGTCCGGAGAAGAGTCGGACTGCAAGGGTTTATTGTATGTATCAGTGGCGGAGTCACGTTATATGAAAGGGTGTCAAATGACATCCCTTCGTGGAAAAATACACTGTGTAGGTAGGTAAAAAAAAAATTTATATGTATATATACTATGTATTGACTACCTTAATTTCCTGGTATGTTTACTTTTATATATTTTGACATCCCTTAACGAAAATTCTGGCTCCGCCACTGGTATGTATTACCCAACATTTATGCAAAAGACTGTTTTCACGGCTCGAACCGTGACATCTGGTCACATGGCAACAACTTTACCGGTTATGAATATTCAAATTTCTTTCCAAAAGAATTTATTTACTTTTTTCAAAGTGTGAACACCTATAGTGAAATTTCTGCCTACGCCTCTGTAGGTAAGGTTGATGAACTGCAAAAGAAAACTATAAGGGAGGAGAAAGATTCGAGTGAGAAACTAGCCAGGGTTCAAGAAACAGTTGCAGATGCATCAATGGTGGAGTTATCCCATATTGTGACTCAGCTGATGATGATTAGTGGAAGTGGAGGAGGAGGAGGAAAAATACTAGAGGAAGAAGTGGAAGCAAATCTGGCAACTAAGGAGGAAGGTCTTGTAATAATCCTACAAAAGGCAGATAATCTAAGGCTAAACACTCTCAAGGAGATTTTAACCATTTTGACACCAACTCAAGCGATTCATTTCCTGATTGCTGCTGCTGAGCTCCATTTAAGGCTTCATGAGTGGGGTAAGAAAAAGGATGCAGCCGCCCTCCACTCTGATGCGGATCCGAAATTTTAATTAAGTAAATTTTAATATTTTAAAGTATTTTAATTAAATAAATTTTAGTATTTTAAAGTTATGATTTCATACGTATACACACTCCTGAATTGTGTTAGTTCGGGAAGCTACTTATAAGTATGATCTAGATCGCGGCTGGTCTTATGTAGGGTTGTTGTAAATTCTAAACACTAATAGTTTGTATGTGTATCCACGTGTAGCAAAATGGTACTAGTAGCTAAAAATGAAAAAAATATATACTATATAGTCTGGTTGTAGAAAAATGCTTATTAAATTTCAGAAGCCTTTCATTTGTGATAACTAACAACAGAAAACTACTCAATTTTTTGTTTTATTTTATATGTCATTTTTTCTGTTTTAATCAGTTTAAAAAATGACACATTTTTATATATAAAGGAAATTATAGTACTACTTGCCTCGCAATTATTGGTAGTTCTTTTGTCACGATCCAAAATCTAACATGTCGTGATGACGCCTATCGATGGTACTAGGCAAGCCGACTTTCCCAAAATATATCAGAAATCAAATATAAAAATACTTTAAAACCATCCATATCAGGAATTTTCGTAAAAAACAAAGTTGAACTAAAAAAAATAGAATCAAAGTGCGAAAAAACTAGCCCCAAATGTCGGGGTGTCACCAAGTCATGAGCGTCTAAGTATCAAAACTAATACAACCAATGTCTAAATACCAGTACAAAGCAGAAAGAAATATAGGGGTGACAAAGTCTTGCGGACGTTGGCAGCTACCTCGTAGTCTCCGGAACTCAATCACGCCTGAACTCAACGGTCTCCGTGCTCAAACACACCTGGATCTGCACATGAAGTGCATGGTGTAGTATGAGTACAACCGACAAAGCAAGTAACAGAAATAAATAAAGAATTGAGAAGCAGTGACGAGCTATACATAACAGTTTATTTGATAATTTTCAGAGTTTAAGAGTAAACACGAGTAAAATCAATTGCACAATTACCAAGTTCAAGTAAACAAAATATCAGCTAAATGCAGCAACAAAGGGAAACAGATGCAACCTCACAAGTACTGTCACTCAAGCTCTCAATAGCTCAACGCTCGGCTTCAGTCCTCAAAGCATATAGGTACCTGCGCTTACTGGTGGTGTTCAGACTTTGGAGGGGCTCCTAAAGTCCAAGTGCTATAATCTGCACGGACAACTCACGTGCCGCACAGACAACTCACCTGCTATAATATCATATCAAGGTCCGCACGGACAACTCACGTGCCACCATATCTCATCGGAATCCGCACGGACAACTCACGTGCTAAGGTACAATACCTCACAAACAGGCCCTCAGCCTCACTCAGTCATGAACCACTCTAGTCTCACATCCCTCAATAAAGAAAGAGAAAACAACCCAGATCAGAATATTATGGTGTATTAGCAGGGAAATAACAGAGACTGAGGTAAACATGTACAAGAATCACTATGACTGAGTATAGCTACCAGGAGCAGGTACATAACCTAAGCATGATTTCTACATGAAGGCAGTCAAATTTCTAGCAGATAAGAAATGCATATAAACACAAATAAGGCTGTTAGACATTACAGTCTCACGGGACGGACCAAGTCTCAATCCCTCATGGCGTACACCCGCACGCCCGTCATCTAGCATGGGTGTCACCTCCAAACAGTCACATTATACCGAACTCCGGGTTTCATACCCTCAAGACCAGATTTAAAACTGTTACTTACCTCAACAGCGTAGAAATTCTACTCCGGAATGCCCTTTCCTCTCGAACCGGCCTCCAAATGTCCTGAATCTAGCCACAAGCAATACAATACGATCAATATAGGCTAAAGGAATCAATTGCACAAGAAAAATATCAATCTATATCCAAAAACCCGAAATCGGCTCAACCCGGCTCTCGGGCCCACATCTCGAAATCCGACAAAAATCACAAAATCCGAAAGCCCATTCACTCACGAGTCTAGTCATACAAACTTTACCAAAATCCGACCTCAATTGCCCCTCCAAAACCCCAAAGTTCACTCTCCAAATCCCCAAGCCCTAACTCCTAAATTTCCCACTCAAATCCCCAATTAAATGACGAACAAAGCCATAGATTCACGGAAATTAGACCAATACAGGTTAGAATCACTTACCCCCAACGTCCTCCTTGAAAACCTTCGAAAACTCGCCTCTCTTCTGAGCTCCTCAAGCTAAAAATCAAAAATGAAAGTCTAAAAATAGAGCTCATGTTTTCTGCCAGGAATTTCCGCTCCTGCGGACCCCTTGAAGGCTTCTACGATGCCGCACCTGCAGAAAATCCATCGCAGGTGCAGATTTCACTTAAAATCTGATGTTCTAAACGTCAATACCACACAAGAGGGGGGGGGGGGGGTGATTTGTGTGGTACCCAATTTTTGCTTATCTGAACTATAGAAGGACCCGGTTCTTCTAGGTGTTCCAACTACTACTGTTTGGGGAATAATAAATACAGAAAATAAAGAACACAGAGATTTTTACGTGGAAAACACCTGGCTCAAAAGGTGAAAAAACCACGACCTACTACTCAGTAGGATTTTCCCAAACTTTCACTAAAATCACTGAGCCAAAACAACATTTACAAAACTCTTTGTAAACCTAAGGATTAACTCTATCCCGTTGTAGCAACCAGCCTCTAACTGTTGCGACAACTTCAAGTTAATTCTAACTTGAATACTCAAAGTACCTATTACAATTGCTTCTAATAAAGCTAAAAGGTACAAAATTAAAATACCTACTACAATTGAACTAGAAATAAAGAAAGATACATAAAACTCTTTATGGAGCTGGTTCTTCAATCTGGTTCATATAGCGTCAGGTTTGCACACTTGAATCACACACGAACTGCTTGCAAAAAGCCTTGCTATTTTGCTCTCAATTCACGTTTAACTTCTGCGTTTTTGTGCAACACTTGTAATGTGAGAACATCCTGCATTTTATAGAGTTAGTAGATGAAGAAATAACTAGAGTTCTGATGCAACTCTTCCTTGGTGGAAGAGTTCTAGTTGATTTCAACTTCTAACTCCTTCCCTATCTTGGATAGTGTTCTCTTTGAGTAAGGAGTCCTTCTCCTTATCAATTATGCAACCTTTTCGATCAGGAGATATTAAATACACCAATTTAAGCTTATCTCCTTCACGTGCATCCCACATGCTCGAATCTGCCCGTTTTTATGAACCTGAGGGATGGACCTAGTTCATGCTGAGCTTCCTTTGTCAATCTTCAAAACTAACCTTCTCTTGGGCCAACAAATTCCCCCTTTTTGATGATGACAAACTCTGTGCTTTTTATAAACTTAGGCCATGTTTCAACTTAGCTCAACATCAACATAATGTTGGAAACATTTTTCCTTTTTATCACTTATCATCAAGGACCAGGTACATTAGGTTATAAACATCACTGTTCAAAGTGTAAAGCATAACCTTTTTCCCCCTTTTGGCATCATCGAAAAGTTGCATTAAAAAAATGTGAGATAACCAGATTTTAAAGCTTACTCATGGCCACTGGGGCTACTTCAAATGCAAACATGGATTAATCATCATAGATCAAGCTAAGAATTTCAACCATCAAAGAAATATAAACAAACAGTTCGAGCAAAAGACAGTAAATTTCATTGATGATTGATAAGATTCTACCACAAAGCATAAGAAGAAATAAAAATACTGAAAATATGAGCAAAAGAAACAAAAAGTCCCGAATTGGGTCACTGGTTGATCTACACTAGGCTAGGATTTAAGACTTGGAAGAGGTAGTGGCTGGATTATATGCTTGGAGAAGTTTCAAAATGTCTTGAAGAATTCCATCATTCTTCTCCTTTTCCTTTGCAAGTTCAGTTCTGAGAACATTTCTCTCAGATTCTACCTCAAACAATTGTGTCTTCAGCCTTGCTATCTCAGCATCCTTTGCCTCACTCTCCTGTAATAGAGCTCTGACCTTGCTACTGATAGGTGTACTTTTAGATGAACCAAGTTCATTGGGAATGGCATTAACCTCATAATCGCAAGCAAGCAGAGTATTAACCCCACTTCTTCATAGGTACCTTGAAATGTGCAAGCACAGTTGTGAGAATGAAACCATATGGAATGTCATGAGTTTTGGTGCCATTGATAACTCTATCAGTAGGTCCGCGAGGGTTTCCTGTTAAGATGGAACAGGTTCATCTATATTTTTCCCAAGTTGAACCAACCCCTCAGCAGCTTCGCCACACCCACTTCCCCCTGTTTTGCTCACACTCTCTTCTATTTCAGTAAATTCTTCTCCCCAAACAACCATTGTACCAGTTTCTTTTGTTAGACCAACAGGAGTGGGTGAAGAATCAACCACTCTTTTACCCTTTCCCCTCACAGCACTCCTAGCACCCTTGCTCTCTTTTTCTTTTCCCTTTTTATTTTTACCAATAGTCTCAACACCTGCTATAGATCCTACCAGTACAAATCTATTCTCTAAATTTGCAGCAACTTCAGAAATTGTCTTAAGAGTAACTTTAGAATCAGAAGATACCTGTTCAGTTTCGGAATACCTACTTTCTTCACCCTTAGTAGCAGACTTAAATGAATCTTCAAATTTCTGGGATTCTCATTCGCGACCTGCTTTCAATTTCTTATTTATTTTCTTGATCTGCTCTCCTTCAGCGACAATCTTATGAGCCATCATCTTTACTCTACTTTTCTTAGAGATTGGTGTTGTAGAAGGTGTGGAAGTGGTTTCCTGTGGTGGTGATGAAGGATTTTCAGAGGTGTTCGACATATCTGGGCTAGGGTATGGAAGAGAAGAGAATTAGATTGTGTTTGGAAGATGAAAGAAGAATGAGAGTTTTTGACCGCTTGAGAGAGATGAAGTAAGGAATACACTAAAGCTATTCAATATACAGGGGAATAATTGATGGGGTAACTACAACTTTTCAGACTCTTCGAAGTTAAATTAAACTGAAATTCAGTTTTGAAGAGACGTTGGAGTGTATCCCTAGAATATAGATACTTCCATTCGATTGGGACTCTTTTGAATGGGACTGGTTCACTTGTAACGGATAAGTCCAAAAGGAGTTTGGTATTTGGTAGGACTCTGCTCATGATCCAAATATAGTTATTTCAAATTATGCAGAGTGTAGAAAACATACCATGTTATCTTGATGAACCAGGTTCTTCACTGATAATTCTCTTGTGTGAGTCTAAATTTGCCAAAA